AAAGTAATTTATTTATTAAAATTTTTAAAACATAAAATACTGCATTTACTAGTAAATAAACTATAATTAAAAATGAGAAGAATTGGCCTCAAAATCATAAGCTTTTTGAAAATTAAATTTTTTATAAGAAGGACTATTAACTTTGATCATTAAAAGGTAATTAAGAGTATCAATTCGCATTTTATTACAAATTTTTGTTTTAATTAAATTTTGTTGTGAAAAAATTTGCTCAGTAAATGCATTTGAAAGAAGAAGTGTTAAGAAAAGAGATGTGATTTTAAAAATATTAGGATATAATATTAAAAAATTAGGAGTATTAAAAAGTTTTAACCAAGCCTCATTTGGTTTTAAAGAAGTATAATTAATAAGCATAATTCGAATATATTTCTATTCTTGAATTAAGTTATCAATTTCAATAAATAGCGCATAATAAACTTCTACATATATATAAAAAATTCTAAAATTTAGCAAATTTTAAATTATTAAATTAATTATAGTTATTATTATTTACCTTGTATAGTTTTACTTGTACCATAAAAGTTAGCAATTAATGCAATTTCTTTATTTCTATATTCAGTTGGTAATATTGTTCTTGGCAAATTATACAGGTCAAAAATATAAAACACATTAGTAGTTTCATGATCGGGAAAATGTGCTTGAAGATTTTCGATTGTTGCTTGAGCGAATTGCTGTATATGTGGTGGAATATTACTTGTCAAAAGATCTTCTTCATATATAAATTGATGTAAGTGATTTCCCTATATAGGTTCTTGATTATCAGTTTCTAAAAAATCTAATCTAATTTTTTGAATTATCGTATCGATTTGAATTTTAATCTCATACAATGATATATTATCAGCTTGAAAAATAAGTATCAAACGTTGAAGATCACTGAGAATATCAGCCAAAAAACTTGTAGTAAGTAAAAATTTCTGATCAATCATATCAAATAGCATACTAGCAGTTTTTAATATTTTATAATCCTCTTGAAGTGCTTGGATTACTGAATTAATTATATGATATAGGTTAGAAACAACATTTGATAACAATAACTAACGCGTAGTTACAATTTTTAGTAAGTGGAGTTCAGGCTCTTCTAATCAAGCTTCTATTATTTTTAAGTGTTCTATTCGTAAATAAGAGTTACTAAAATAATTATAAAGACTTTGAACAATATCATTATATTCAGCTAAATATAGAACTGCAGATGCCGTATTTTCACTTGCTAGTGCCAAACGATAAGAAATACAATGATGTTTTATAAGATAAGGATTTTTTTTTTTAAATTGAGCAACAACACCATTATTATGTTCTTATTTTAAAAATAGTTAAATATTAAAAATATATTACTAATTTTAAATTTAAAAAATTTATTATAGCTATCTAATATTACTGATGCACTGTCACTTCCTATATTCATTAGACGATCAATTGGCAAATTCTTTGCTTGTATAAAAATACTTAATTCATTGACAATAGCATCTGCTGTCCCTTCCTTAAGCTCAATCATTCCCAAATAATGATAAACTAGTAAGTTTTTTGAAATATGTTTAGAAATAATTACAAGATTCTTATCCATTATAACCGTAGTACTTTCATCTATCATAATACTTTAAACAGGAGACTCCTGAATCTCTTGGCAAACAGCCTCTTTGATAACTCTTCCAATAGCATCAATAAATTCTCAGGCTGCACATTTATTAGAGTAGCTTCCATAATCAGCATGTGATTCTTCTAATAATTCAAATAACAGATAATCAAGAGTATAAATTTCTACTGGAGTATATATCTCTTCTATACACTTAACATGATATTTGGTTAAAGACGTAAGATCAGTAATTTTAGATGTTGCAACAAGGTTTTTCACCAACCAATAAGTATTTACTAAATTCCGAATAACAGATAAATGACTAGTTCCAAGTTGATTAGTAAAGCCTATTTCAAGACTAATTTGTAACTTATCTTGTATCTTTATTAATTTTTGATGATCTTTAGTTTCTATATATCATTTAATTGACTGTTCTTTAAGATACTCACAACTAGTAATGAAATTATTATTCAATTTTGCTGATTCACAAAGCTTACAAAACAAGGCAGGCTTTTCTTTTTTTTGCCTAAACGTAACCAAGGGTAAGTTATTTCCCAAATAGGATTTCACTTAAGATTTTCTTTTAAAAGCTAAACAACTTTTGACTTGGGCTCTTCATAATCACTTGAAAATTCATTATCAAAATTATTCTCACTTAAACTAATTACTTAATCTCCATCTAAACTAATCATCTCATCCAAACTAGTCATATTGCTAGATGCTAATTTTTTATTAGCTAAAATATTGGTTTCATGTTTTTTAGTACTTTTTGCAATAGTAAAAGGAGTTTTTAATGTATTATTAACTTTTTTTTTTTCTTTTTTTCTTTTTTTGACTTCTTCGAAATCATATTTAAAGCAAAAAAAAAAGATAAAATTATATTTGCAAAAATAATTAAGGTAATTTATATATAACACAAGATGATATTAGAAATATATAAAAAACAGTAGAAATGATGTTTATAGAAATATAATTCGTAAAATAATTTTGGTTAATATATGAATAAAGAGTTTATTAAGATTCTAATTATTTACATATCAGGGTATTTTTTGATGTTATTAATTATAGTACTCTGATAGTAGAAAGTTAGTAAACCTGTAAATAAACAGATAAGTACGTACAATTTAAGTATTTAATTAATTTCTTATTTTAGAAATTATGATATAATTCACTAATCACAACTCTATTGTTAGATTCAAATATAAAAAAAAGCTATTAGGTATAAACTAACATGTTTCATTTAGTGATCTAATATGACCAATTAACCAAATCTGACATTCTTTAATTGTAAAAATAAGGTTATTATTAGTGGAGTATCTAGAAAAGAATTTTAAATTTTTTTTTAGTTTTTTAAAAACTAAAAAATATCTGTTTTTTAATAAAAAACTATTTTAGAGCACGTCTTTATGTTCATGCTACATATAGTAAATATAAGAGTAGAGCTATAATTAAACGATTACATTATTTTACAAACCTGCAGGTTCGAGAAATCATTTGATAATATTGAACCTATAGTACAATTTATTGCTCATACGTATAAGTTTAAAATTAATTAAATTCATGATTTGCAACATATAACCAGATTTAGTATATACATATATACATATAGTATGTAACTAATCATTATTTTTATTAATTTATATATATCTTATAAGAACATAAATTATAAATTTTATATTCTTAGTTTGTTTTCAAAAGAGAATATGATTTCTAAATACAGTGTTCTAAAATTTTCTTGAATATTCTTGAGAACATTGAGAACATCAAATATTCTTCACTGCTTATCAAGTACTTTCTAAATACTTATTAAATACTTATTCTAATTACTTATTAAACCAATTTCAATGCACCTTATACCTAGTGAATACTTAAAACCAAATATTTAGCAAGTAATTATATAATTATAATAAGTATTTATTAAATTTTTTTTTTTTTTTTT